TGTGATAACGTCCATTAGCTGGAGCTCTTGAAGAGATGCTGGGCTACAAAGCTCACCTTCTACAACCAGCATGGTGAATATTCCATGTTAGAAGCTATTATATTTCTTGTTGGAAGATCACATATTTCATGTTATAGGCCACAAAGAGTCATAGAATCATAGAGCTGCAAGGAACTGCAAGGGCTTTCACGCTTAATTACAGTCCAACCCCCTGCCATGTAGGAATACACAATAAAAATGGCCAGTCAACCTTCGCTTAAAGACCTCCAAAGAAGGAGAGTTCAACACCATACTCTCAGACAGCCCCATCCCACTGTCAAACAGCTCTTATAGTCAAGTTTTTCCTAGTGTTTAGATGGAATCTCTTTTCTTGTAACTGCAGTATATGTTCTGCTCTCAGGACCTACAGAAAAAGATCTTGCTTCATCTTCTATATGACATATCTTAGGGTATTTAAAGATGGCTATGGTCCAAAACACACTACAGAAATGATCCAGTTTGAGATTGCTTTAACTGCCCTGGCTCAGTGATAGAGAATTCTGGAAACTGTAGTTTTGTGGGACAGTTAGCCTTCTCTGTCAGAGAACTCTGGTACCAGAACAAACTACAGTTCCCAGAATTTAACACTGAGCCATGACAATTAAAGCAGTCTCAAACTGGATTATTTCTGCAGTGTTTTGGTCCTAAGATATACCCTTTAGTCTTTTTAGCTCCAAGCTAAACACCCATAAGGCTTGTTTTCCAGAACTTTTATTTTATTGGTCACCTTCCTCTGACTCATTCCAGCTTATTAATATTCTTTTTGAACTGTGCTGCTGAGAACAGGACACAGTGAGGTCTGACCAAAGCTGAACAGAGGAGAACAAGCGCCGTGGTCCGGAGGCTGAACTCCGGCGGCGCTCCGGACCAGGGCGTCTCCGACGCCCTGGTCTGCATCCCCCCTATGATTGCCCTCCATCTGGACACTACACTTCTGTTAATGCACCTGCACTGGGGTTTTTTGGATGCCACATCTTACTGGTGACTCCGGTTTAGATTGTGATCAACTGAGACCACTAAATCTTTTCACATGTATTCTTGTCAAGCCAGCAGTCATGCATCCTCTTATTTGTGCAAGTATGGTCAATAAAGCAAAAAGCATTAATGAGGAAGAACAAACAAGCTAGAAGAAGCTGCAGAAGTTTGCTTTTATCTGAGCTACTGGGAAGGGCATGAATTAATTGAATGCAAATTAATTTTGTATTTTGAACTCATTTTGCAGCAACTGAAGTAAGCTGAGGACAAAGAGAGAAAGTGGGAGGAGGAGAGAAGAACTGGAGTACTTTAAATGTAGCTGATCAAAGGGGGTTGACAAAGGATTAAATAGGACAGTCCCTGCCAAATCAGTACAGCTAGGGGAAATGCTAGTGGAGTTGCTGTGCAAATGGAGAAAGAGGCCTTAATTTCTCCCTTCCTCACCAACATTGAAGCCTTTATCAACTATTGATTGAATGTCTCAGACTGGGACAGTCTAAAGGCCTACCTCAGGGGTGCACAACCTCCTTAGCCCCGAGGGCCTCATTTGGCTATGGCAATGGTGGTAATGGTTGCTGGAAAATGTAACTTGTGTAAATGTACAGATGTGGGGAAATGACAATATGGGAATACAAGTCACTTCTATAGCTAGTTGGGAAAGTTGTTTGGAGCTGGAATACAAAATAACAGAGCAGGGGATAGTCAAGGTCATAGTGTGTTTGGGAAAACAAAGGCAAGATGTAAGCATATTAGATCATCATGTTTGCTGGGAACTACTGTTCATGTGACATGGGACACAGGAAGGAATCATAGGAAGAGGCTGGGTTTTGAAGCTGCATGGAAAGTGTCCCTTCACTGCCCCCAAGACGGCCCTTTAAGCCATCTGCTTAGGGCCTATAAATAATCTGAGCACACAACATGTGCTTTCTCTTCCTCTTCTGCTCTCTATCTTTGTACTTTGTTTCTACATGAGAGTATAAATAGTTTTCCTTTGTTTATACTGCAACTTAAGAATAAATGCCTCTTTGGAGTAAGTTCCTGTCTATGGCTTGTTTCTGGGAGCTGGGTGATCATGTTTTACAGCAAGAAACAGCTTCAAGACAGAAGGCTTGAAGATCCTCCCACAGAGCAGAGGAGCAAGCTTCCAGGTGATTGATCTGTGTGCTCAA